CCCCAAAACCCCAAAACCCCAAAACCCCAAAACCCCAAAACCCCAAAACCCCGTAGGAGGATTCTTTTATTGAAACAATCAAGTGATCGACCCTCCCAAAAGTATTTAATTAATTAGCCTAAGGAAACTTTGGATCAAGGGAAGAACCTTGAGTACTCTCCTTCTTTGATGCCATCAACGCATTCTATTTCCTTCTTGGGAGTTGATTTTACTGGTGTAGTCTTCTTGAGTTCACGTCTTTTAGACGTCCTTTCTAGTGTGGGATAGATACTATTATGCTTAGCTTCTTTCTGCTCTTCTCTCTCATCATGAGTTTTAGAGCTTTTTCTTTTAAAATACTTATTTACCAGACTTAGTGTTAGAATCAGCATTAAAGAACTTCCTGATGGTATAATTCTTAATGACACCATCTTCTTCGCTATAAATTAGTTAGAATTAAGTGTATTTAAAGCGTTTGGCGTACCTGCCTAGTCATGCATTGGCAGATCCCTTCTTACTCTTCCTTCTCCAGCCGTACCGCTTACGATTTGTTAAGGATCTCTTTTCCCTCTTTTTCTGACCAATAATCGCTATTCTTTTAACAATAGCGCTCTTTATAGCATCGTCAAGGCTGAGCTCTTCGTGGGTGATAGGGTCAATGTCTCCAGCCACGACTCTTTGGGTAAGCTCTTCTTCGTAGATTTCGCCTAAGAAATCTAGGTCTTCATGATCCTTCAAACTTTTAGAGTGTAATGAGTCCTCAGGGTCTCTTAAGTACCTCAGCTTTTTCTCAATCGGGCAGTAAACAACTTGATATTGGAAGGTGAGGAAGGCCTTATCGAATGTCTCAAGGTACTTATCGGGAACCACGAGCCTCTTGTTCTTCTGCATGTTTTGTACCGCCAATTTAACATCTCCACCAGAGTTAGTGATCAGCTTGAATGCTTTAGAGACTCCTATACCTTTTACGCTTGGTAAGTAATCACATCCGGCTAGGATACATGCTTCAAGGAAATTAGTGTGATCGAATGATTGCATGTTAATTTCCTCGACCTTCTTCAAATCAGCTAGGTCAATCCTATACCCTTTACCGTTCTTGTCCATCTTCATGAAGACAGTGCTTGCTCCAAAGGGCAGAAGGTCGGAGTCTTCAGTAATAATAAAGTCAACAATTCCTGCCAGGGAAAGATACGCTAGCTGTGCATCGGCTTCATAAGGAGCTACGATATACTCTATCTCTAACTTTTTAAGTGCGATAATCAAGGCATAGGCATGTCTTGGAGTGATATTGACTGACTCGTTATACTTCTTCATAGCTTCTATCACTTTACCTTCTTCTTCCAACTTCTTGGCCTCGCCCATGATGCGGTTTCTGTTCTTCTCACGCTTCTCTTCAGTCTTAAGCTTCATGGGATGCTCTGCGCCATCAAACACGAAAATGGGCTTGATGTTGTAATCCAAAAGGAGCTTAAGTTTGCTAATACAGTACTCGACCAAGTACTCCACGCCTTGGAGATTGTCCTTGAGTTCGTGGGCCATCCCATAGACGCCTTGGTGCAGCCAGCAGTAGGAGTCAATGGCAGCTCTTTGCCCCTTGAATTCCTTTATATGCACCTTTTGTTGGATCGACTTTATCTTCGGAAGCAGGTCTTTGATGCCCATTTTGTTAACCTTTTTAAAAATTTATTTATTAATTTAGTAAAGATTTTCTTGAAATCAACCACCCGAGAGTGGCATGGGGTTTTGGGGTTTTGGGGTTTTGGGGTTTTGGGGTTTTGGGG